CCCCATCTTTAATTATATCTCTTAATCAAGGCTCTTCTTCATTTAAGGTAAAATATACTTAGCTTCTGGAAAGAACAAATATGGAGGCATCACATTACCTGATTTCAAACTATATTATAAGGCCATAGTCACCAAAACAGAATGGTACTGGTATAAAAACAGGCATCCAGATGAGTAGAACAGAATAGAGAACCCAGAAATAAACCCAAATACTTACGGATGACTAATCTTTGGCAAAGCAAATGAAAACATAAAATGGGGAAAGGACACTATTAAACAAAAGACACTGGGATAATTGGCAATACACAAGCAAGAGAATGAAACTGGATCCTCATCTCTCACCTTACACAAAAATCAACTCAAGATAAATCAAAGACTTAAATCTTGGACCTTAAACTATAAATATTCTATAAAATAACATTGGAAAACCCCTTCTAGGTATTGTCTTAGGCAAAGATTTCATGACCAAGAACCCAAAAGCAAATCCAACAAAAGCAAAATTAAATAGGTGGCACTTAATTCTGAAAAGCTTTTGCATGGAAAAAGGAACAGTCAGCAGAGTAAACAGACAGCCCACAGAGTGGGAGAACATATTTGCAATCTATATATCTGACAAAGAACCAATATCCAGAATGTACAAGGGACTCAAACAAACTAGCAAGAAAAAAGCCAAACGGGACAGGCCTGGTGGCTTAAGCCTGTAAACCCAGCACTTTGGGAAGCTGAGCAGGTGGATCACTTGAGGTCAGGAGATCAAGACCAGCCTGGCTCACATGGTGAAACCCCAACTTTACCACAAAAAAACCCACAAAGGAAATGCAAAAATTAGCTGGGTGTGATGATGCATGCTTGTAGTCCCTGCTACTTGGGAAACTGAGGTGGGAGAATCTCCTTAACCCGGGAAGTAGAGGTGGTAGTAAGCCAAGATTGTGCCACTGCATGGCAGCCTGGGTTACAGAGAAAAAATCCATCTCATAAAGAATTAATAATAGCAATAATAATAATAACACTATGATACAAAGAAATCGTAGATTCATTATTATTACTTTAGTGTCCACTTTTAAACCTGGAAGTTATCTATGACACCTTTCTTTATCTGTCCCCAACCTTATCCCCTCGATTAACAAGTCTCATTGATTTTACCTCCTAAACATATCTTCAGTCTTCTGCTACTACTGCCTTGACCTAACAGACTTTGCACTGCAAGGGCATTAAATTCAGGATTATTATCTCTCTTTCTTACAGATTTAATGCAGTGAATTAAAAAATTGATCATTGATCAATAGAAATACAAGTAGTTCCCAGTCTAGGACAGCAAGAATAAAAATGAAAAGAGAAGTATAACTCTTGCCATTAATGATAACGTACTCTATAATGATTAATATCGAATAAACTAATATTTTACTATTTTGTGATATATAGGAATCTTTAAATTATGTGGTCTCTCTATGTTTACATTACTAAAGCCTAATATTAATGCAGAAGTTTCATTTTTTTTGAAAGCTTGGTATTAATATTAATGAATATTGATATGAAGATTAATTTCATGAAAAAGGAAAGTGATACCTATTTTTACCTGGGAAAAGAAAAAAAAATAAGAACTGAAATTTTTATTGTAGGCCTATTTTGAGGAAAATTAAAAACAACCTAAATGTTAAATGTGTGAAAATAAATACAATATATCTGCTAGATAAAATATAAGGTAATGGGAAAAAGTATACATTTTCATTTGGAGTACCTATCTGATCAGCTGTTCAGGCGTTATAGAGGGCCTTAGGAATTTTCTTTTTCTGTGTTTTTTCTTTTTTTTCTGACAGATTCTCACTCTGTTGCCCAGGCCAGAGTTGAGTGACACAATCATAGGTCATTGTAGCCTGGATCTCCCAGGCTCAAGTGAAGCAATCCTCCTGCCCTAGTTTCCCAAGCAGCTGGAACTACAGATAAGTAGACAAGCCTGATAATGTTTTTTACATTTTTAGTAAAGAGAAGGTCTTGCCATGTTGTCCAGGTTGGTCTTGAACTTGAGCTCAAGCGATCCTCCTGCCTCAGCCTTTCAAAGTGCTGAGATTACATGTGTGTACCACTGTACCTGGTCGCTCTTAAAAATTTCTACAACAGTAGCAGCCAGCGTGGGTTCTTATATAGGCTAAATGGGATATTGGATTTGCAAGTGACTCATTAAACTAAAAATACTGTTTATTATTGTTGAATGCTAAATTGAGTGGTACAGACTGAAAGGCTTGTTGGAAGAGTCTAGATAGGTAAGTGGAAATGAAAGTGAGAAGGCATTTCTTCATAAATCATGAAAAGCCTGTACAAAGACAAAGAGGCAAGGTAAGCTTGTTAGTGTAGCAAGAACGAAGTAACTAGAGAAAGACAAAAATGTATTCCGAGAGTCTTCCTCCAGATCCCTAAAGCTGTTCATTTGTCTTCTGAAGGGCTACAGTTTCGCAGTCAGTCTCTTAGCAAAGACATTCATGTTGAGTAAATAAACTGAAATGAGATTAGCACCATCCATTGCAGGCAAAAGCAAAAATAAAAGTAAGCTTTAAGAAAATATAAATGCTTGTGGTCTATAGAATTGTAAATGGAAAGATTAAAGGTAAGAACAATCAGCCTTCCCAATAAGCAAAGAATAACAGTAAAAGGGTAGACACTTCAGGTTGAGAAACTTACTATTTATAGGAAAACCAAAAGAGGGAAGTAAAGAAAGAAACAATTTAAAGCATGTGTCAGTAGAATTGGTACTTCAAAAACAACAGGGAACATAAAAGATGATTCCATGATTTAGACCTCATAGAATAATTGAGTGATTTGAATAAATAAGAAAAAGGATGAAAATGACTATCATCTGTTTCCATCTAGCACTGTTATCTCATTTTTTTGTAAATAAACAAAAAAGTAAGACAGTTTATTGTACATAACTGGCCTAGTCCACATGGGCAAAAAAATGGAAAATTCATTTATCTCATGATTTTTTAATAGCATTGTTGCATGAGAGGAGGTGAAGTATAAAGAAATGTTATTTTAAATGGAATGAAATGAAGATTTCCAAACATATTAGCAGATTTTCAGATATCTGAAATAACAGCAGTCACCTAAATCCCCAAATACCAAACTTTCCTGAAAAAATACACAGTCTCCCCCTGCCCAAAAATAGATTAAATAAATCCGTGAGACTATAATAAAACAGTATGTTAATGACATGTAAATGAAACATAAAAGTTTATAAACAAACTAAAATGCTTATGAAAATTTAATATACCATATCACTGGGCCAAAGGTGTATTGAAATGACATTATACACATGAACAAATTTCAAAATGAGTAAGAAGTCTAAAGGTTATAAAACAAATAGACAAAAATATAATGAAAGTGCTAAGAAAACATGAGTGAATTTCTCTACAATTTGAGCAAAATAGAATCTTTCTAAACATGGTTCAAAAACCAGATTCAATAAAAGAAAAAACTTGATAAATTTTACAACGTCTACACATAAAAACTTTTGATGTGTCAGCGATTATCAAAAGCAAACCCAATATAAGTAAGTAATTAGGAGAAGAGATATCATAACTAAAGGGATACAATTTACAATATATTAG